TTATATTATTGACCATTAATATGGTTTCTTTCTAGCAATTGTGTAGATACTTACTTAAAGAGAAGTAGAGGAAGACAATGTGTAAGAAAAAGATGAAATTATACCACTCAAGTGTCATGATTTTTGTCATGGTGAATCATTTCTTCAATATCTGATGATCATGATACTTTTTTATAAATTTGTTAACGGTGAATCGGAACAAAGCTCGTATTCGGCTCGTTCGCTAAGTTAACGAGCCGAGCATGAACAACACGAACAACATGGAAAAAGATTTGTTCGTTCGTGTTCAACTCGTTTTCGCTCGAAATACTACTAATCAATTATATATATATATATTTGATGAGTAGTATTTTTAAAAAAAATTAATTGACTACAAGGCTACAAAGATTTATAATCAATTAAAAATATTAATTAAGAAAATAGAATAAAAATTATTAAATTATATTCAAATGATGTTTTAATATAAACAAAAAAAATTAAATCTTGCACCAATCTTTAATATTTTATGGCAACGCGATTAGGGTTGTCAAAACGACTCTTTTTTCGTGAACGGCTCGTGTTCGGTTCGTTAACCAAACGAAGCCGATCACGAACACATTTTTTTGAGCTTGAAATATAAACGAACCGAATACGAACGGAGCCTGGGCTCACTCGGGCTCAGCTCGTTTACACCCCTACATGGGAGTATTCAAATAATAAGAAAGCTCATAAAATAATCTCATCAAGCAAAAATAAATTTGTATTTAATGACATTTCATAATCCATCAAAAGATGTAAATAAGGAATTATCCTATGATGAACTCCATCATTTTCTTATTTTAAATGAATAAAGTAATAATTATTTTTTAAAATAAATATTGCATAATTTGTAGCATACTACAAAAGAAAACTTTCATATGTTCTACAAAGCTTATTTATGTAATAAGTTGCTTAAAGATAAATGTCTATTAAAAGCCATAGTTGAATACATAAAAATATTTATAAGAATATATTCTTGATATGTTTAATTATTTATTTAATAATGTCTAGATTTCTAGACTTAAATATGAGTAAAATTTTTGTCCTATGCAGTAAAGCAATTTTGGTTAGAACATTGTATTAGTCTTTCTTCCCTTTAAGATTAGGGAAGGTAGTTGTTAAGTGGATAGGAGAGTGCACATTATGAATGGCGAAGGATGTCATTAGGGATAGGGCTATCGATTTGGCTTGTTGTTCGCGAACAACTTGTATTCAGCTTGTTAAATAGCTCGTGTTCTGCTTGTCCGTTAAGCTTAACGAGCTGAACATGAACAAACATTTGTTCGCTCATGTTCGGCTCGAATTGACTCGAAAAGAAAGAAATAAATAAAAATACACACACACATATAATACATATTCATAAAATTAAATATTATAAATTATAATTAATTAATTTTTTTAAAATAAAAAAATTTATCAAATTTTAAAAAATTAAACTCTATAAATTATAATATATAACGAATTATTAATAAATATTGCTTATATAAATATTATATATTTATATAATATAAGTTATATAATTAATATAATATACTATGAAAGTATAATTTTAGGGTTCGGCTGCTTCTCCCTCTTCAAAATCGCGAAAGGCGCTTGACGAGTCGACAACTCTTCTCCTTCCTCTCAAAATCGCGAAAGACGTTTGACAAGTCGATGACGACCGCGCTCCTTCTCCTCTCAAAATCGCGAAAGGGTTTCGGCGGCGAGAGCTTAGGGTTTGTTGTTTGTCTTTCTCTTCCTCTTCCGAGTTCAGAGTCATCTTCATCTATCTCTTCCGACTCATCTCCTCCAATTTCGAGCCGAACTCGAGCCGAAAAATATTATTCGAGTCGAACACGAACACACCGTGCACGAGCTATTTCGAACACGAGTCAATATCGAACGAGCCGAACACGAGCAGACCCTGCTCGTTTATAGCCCTAATTAGGGATAATACCGAGAGAAAGAAAACTGAAGCTAGCACCAACATTGACCATTGTACTTATTCCATCAAATTCCAACTAGTTGATGTGTACAATCATAACCCATACAACATTAGTTAGTTATGAAATAATGAGAATTAGACTCAATTTTATTTAGTTTAATACTAAATCAAACTAAATGATAAAATTTATTTTATAGTAATATATATTTGTTCAAACTTCATAGATTAGCTCCTAGCAATCTAAATTAATCAAGAACATAATTTAGTGATCCATGGCCTTAGCATTCACAACTATCTAGTGGATGCATTAAGAAATGTGTTAGTAGTCAATTTACCCAACCTAGATTGCTCTAAAGGCCATCTTTGTGTTGATTGCTAATTATGTAAATCATTGCTAATTATGTAAATAAAACTATCTTTTAGGTCTATAAATTAGATGATCACTTCAAAACTTGTAAAATTACATCATATAAACTTATTTAAACATATAACACTCACTTGTTTATAACAGAAGCAATACAAGTACATCATTTAGGGCTGTAAAAAAAGCTCATCGTTCGCAAACAGCTCGTGTTCGACTCGATAAGATGTAAGAAAAGCTCATCGTTCGCAAACAGCTCGTGTTCGACTCGATAAGTAGTTTGCGTTCGATTAGTTCGTTAAACAAGTAAACCAAACACAAAAAAAAGTTTTTTTTTAGTTTGAATTATAAACAAACCAAACACAAACAAGAAGGTGTTTGATCGTGTTCAGTTCGTTTTGGTTCAAATAAATATATATTTAAAAATTAATATAATTTTAAATTTTTCTAATAAAATTTTATGATATATTTGATAGAAAAATTTAAAATATAAAATTTGTCAAATTATTACAAAAAAGAAATTTTAACTCAAGATTATCTGAAATTGATCTCCAACTTTTTTTTTGATAATTTTCTAATAAATAATTAAATTTATTATTTTTATAATTTTTTAGCTCATTTGAAACTGAACACGAACCGAACACAAGCAATTCCAACAATCCAGACAATTTAAACAATGCAAATTAAATTCAAACAAATCGAACCGAACACGAACATCCATTTCACGAACAATGTCAAACAGATTTAATTTCAAACGAACCAAACATGAATATAAACTCTGTCCGCTCGTGTACGGTTCTTTTACACCCCTAACATCATTGTCAATAATTAGTGTAGACGGCAAAAGAAATGTGATTAATAGTTAAATTTCTAAAAATTTTAGGGAATAAGGGACTATCCATTTGAATATTAAGAGCATCACAAAGGAGATATTGAAAATAAGAACTTTAAATGTTTTTTATGATGAAATGATAATTAAGCATAATTTTTTTGCAATTAACATGTGACAACAGAAGGTTTAGGGGAAAGAAAGTAAAGAGTTTGATTGGATCTGGCTAGAATAAGGCTCAGTAGATTGCAACCACTAGAAAATTTCTAGGCAAACAAGATAAACATAGCTTATTATATTTAGTATTCCTTCATTAAAATATTATTCAATGATTACACATAAAAATTAAAATAAAAAAGTAACAAAATATATTAAATATATAAGAAATATTATGATATTCAAGCATTATCCTACATCTATATGGTTCTCTAGGAAACAATTAGTGGTGCCTCGATTATGACATCGATTGTAAGAAAGCAAGGAGGTTGTTTAAGTCTTCAAATTGAGTAGCTTAAAATAAAGAAGAAATAACTGACCAACTTATGAGGTTTCTAAGAAGATATTTATAGTCAACAACTAGAGGATTTTAATCCCAGAGAAGTTTTATATAAAAAGGATTCATTAAGATCCTAGTTGTAATAATGGGTTAGGATTGCTAGTGAGAATAGATGGTTAGGTTTTGATCCAAAACTGATTAAAACAAAAATAAATTGGGCTTTGGGCTTACTAGTATATGGCTAGCTTTGAGCTAAGGTTAGAGATGTTATATTAAGCTTTGACCCAACTAATCAAGGCCTAACTTTCATCTAAGGTCAAGTACACTTTCTAGTTAATCAAGGGAGTAAGGCTTAATTAACTAGCTAAGAAGATAAGAGGGATCTCATATGTGACAATGGTTTTAAATAAGGCAACCCTAAGGTTAGGGTGACCTGATTGTGTGACGAGTCTCTAATTTTGGTTTTATAATGGGATAAAAGCCCTGGATAAGATAATCCTAAGGTTAAGGTGATCAAGTCAATATTGGATCCATATGGCTAAGGGCTAATAGCTTGATTTAACTGAGAGCACTCAAAATATTATAAGAGATATTAATAAAAAGAAATTGTACTCTCTATCATTTCAAACTTTTTGATACATAATAGTCATTGATATGAGTGTTCCCTTTTTCTATTTCTTTCAATTTTAAAATTTTTCTTCTTTCAAATCCCAACTCCTAAACAAGCTTTAATTAGTGGATCATGTATGTTGCATTTGTTTTTAGCATATTTAATTGCTCATGTAGAGATGAAAAACATATGCTATAATTCTTGAAAATGATGTACGCTTTCTTAATAATAAATACTACTTATAAAAAGAAAATTATTAGACATCTTGAAAAAAGATTAGTCGGAACCTTGGGTTATATTTCACTTGAATCCCTTATACAATTCAAACAATTAACTTCTCATACTTACATTAATTGCAAATTCACAAAAATTATGAGAAAAAAAAACTGCTCTCTATTATATGTTCAAACCGTTTGAATTTGAACTAAATGGATCTCATTTAAATAAAATTCCAAAACTAAAATTTTTATATCTTAGACATAATCAAGACATACATTTTATACCAATCTCGCATCAACACTAAATAATATGATAATGATGATGATGATGATGATCATCATCATCATCGTTATCATCATCATCATTATTTGAGAGTTAAATATCAAAACTAATAACATATTTAATGAATTAAAAGTTATTTCCACAGCCTCATAATTGCTCCAATAATTGAAAATTTCAAAAGCCATAATCATCAACATTTCAAAATAAATCAAGCATGAAAAAGTTCCCTTTAATAAACCTAAAAATTTGAAGAGCTATAAATACTTATACCTATTTAAATCATTTCTAAATATGGAAATAGACTTCTTAAATAAAAAGATACTTGAACCATTGAAATCATGTGATCTTTAATGAAGACAACTCAGAGCCAGATTAATAGCCAAGAGTCCTTCATACCAATTGACTACATCATATATTTATACACAATATACCCTAATAAGATATCTGCATCCCTCTTCAATTCTCTTTATTAGCCCCCCTCTTTAACCTCCATCTGCTAATCCTTCCAATTAAGCATAAAAAAATGCATTAGGGATTGATTAACCGACTAATACATACTTAAATTCTCTTACAAGTGAGAAGGAACATACCCTAATTATCTTTGACAGTCGTGCAAGCCGGACGCCGAGGAGGCAACTGATGATGAGGTGTTCTCTGCATTCATCACCATCAGACATAATTAGAATCGATACATTTTTGCATGTCTGACACATAAAGCTTCATATGTACATACATGCTCTTAAATCCTTAACATAATACCTAAAATATCATCGTTATGATATGTAAATACATAATTGTGTGTGGTGTGTATGTAAATTTCCCTTTTAATTCTCATTTAACATGCTTTGAGATTAGTGCGTACCTGCAGTTTGGGCCTCAGGGTCTCCACAGCATCTCTGGCCTGCTGCCCCACATTCCCCCCTTGCTGCTATGAATATAATTAAATGCACATAAAATTATTTGGAATATTTTTATAAAGTCTAAAGTTAGATAAATCAACCTTTCATATGATATTCATTACATAAATGCTATAACTAAAAATATGTACCTTGCCAAGGGCCCAGTCAGCAGAATCAAAATAGGCACGCTCATTGTCCTGTGATATTAAATTATAAGCTTAATGATTAATAATACAATAGTTATTATGATTAGCTAATTAAAATGATTATTATTGCATTAATTACTGCATTAAGTCAAACATTAGAGCTGACCTTCGAGATTAAGGGCTTCTTCTTCGGCATAATCCCTCCGTATTTCTTATCCAATGAGGCCTGCAATTTTATGATATTTTATGAAATCATTTCATATAAGAGAAGGTCTGCTGGACCCACTATATCCGTGTCTTAACACTCGAATGACCAACTTCGTACACTTAGTATTGGTAGCATTTCTTAGCGGTTTTCATGCAATCGATCATTATTGCTAGTCAGTAATATAATAATAATAATAATAATAATAATAATAATAATAATAATAATAATAATAATAATAATAATAATAAAATATAATTTTGGTGTAAATAGACACCGGAAATAATTTAAAATTTGTGCAATATTATAAAAGAATGTTTAGCATTCATCTCAGCACAAAACCATATATTTCCAGGCCCATCATAAATATAAATTATATCACAAATTCACAATATTTGGAGCAAAAATTAGGGGCATTTACATACATACCACAAAGTTCTTATCTATTTATATATCTAATAATTATATTTTAATATTTACATATATACACCTCAAATTTTCCTCCATCATATCAACAATAGTATACTCAATATATTTTATAAAACCGAAACTCAGGGTCAGTTTGGGGCAGCTTATTTAGTGCGGTGGAGTTTTGAAAATGCACCTGACCTGTTTGGGTAAACTGCGTTTTAACGGTTTATGCGTTTTTAAAACGCTGAAAGTAGCGTTTTCAGACCGCACCTACCGCACCTATAGGTGCGGTGAGAATTCTGACAGTAGTTTGACTTTTCTAAAAAAAATAAAAATTTGTAATAGCTACCGCATCTAGCTTATCAGCAGCAGCAGCTTATTCAATAAGCAGCAGCTGCCCCAAACAGCCCTCATAATTTCTGCAAGCAATAAGGATGTTAGTTTTGTAAATACATAAAAATTGGGGGGTATGTATGTAAAATTCCCAAAGAATTAATATTTTTTCGTAAATTTAAGAAATCATTATAATTACGTTGATTTAAAATAAAGGAATATGCCACATGAGCAAAAGCTTTTCAGACGGTCAATTTTGAATAAGATTTGTGCGTAGACGATCAGCAAGGTCAAAAATGAAAATAAAAAAAAAAGTATTTGCTTATTTTTCAATTATTATTATTATTATTATTATTATAATTCTTTTGGTCAATTAAGTAAAAATTATACATATAATTTCGTATATTTAATTAATTATAATTCAATTAATGAGTAATTAATTGAATTAAGGAAAATAAAATTTAATATTCCAAGCCTGCCTAAATAGACTAATCTCAGCGCAAAATTTTGAATTGAGTTCTTTTTCAAGGAAGAAATTTAATTTTTAATTACTTTCTATTATTATACATATTTATTAAGAGCATTAAATCTCATATACTTCCATAATTATCAATATAATTTGCATCTAATGATTAATTAAGAATTTTAAAAAAATGAAAAAAATTAATTTCAGATTTTTGAAAAACAGAGAAGAACAGAGCAATTCTGCTTCGAAGTTGAATGTTGATGAAGCTGATTTCAAAGCCTTAAATTTAAAAAAAAAAAAAATCTGAAAATATTTAAATTTTTCTGACCTGTTCTGATTGAGAAGCAGAATCCTCTCCCTTGTGGCCTGCCATCTCCAATTCTTCTCTTCCTACAATCACAAACTCTGTTTAGGCACCAATTCTTACTAATCCAGAGCAGTGGAAAGAGAAAGAGAAAAGGATAGGGATAGAGATAGAGAGAGAGGGAGACCTGGGGGCTTAAGAGAGGGGTAGAGAGAGAAGGAGGAGGGCAGTGGAATGGGGAGGAAGAGGGGGTGGAGGAGATATATTGTGGAGAGGAGAAGGGGAGGTTGAGTGTGGGGAGAAAAATAGGAATCTATTTAAGAAGGCATGAGAATAGGGCGTGCTTGTGAGTTTAGAGATGGAGAGAGAAAGGTAGAGATGGAGGATTTGGGTTTATGGTGGTTAGCCCATGAGAGTTGAATTAGCCCGCACACACTCCTCTTCTTCGTCCCCTAACTTTTCTATTGTCCTTTTTCTCATTGGGTGTTTCCACTTTGGATCTTCCTTTTCTATCATTATTCCCGTTTGCTTAGAATTGATTAATTTTATGGAGTTCGAATTTGGGCTCGAGCTCGAGCTCGAGCTCGAGCTTAATTGAACGAGTTTGACACGGTTTGCGAGCCAGCTTGTTTAGTATAGAAGAGAAAAGGGTATCATTTTAAGCTAGCTTTATAATTAGATGATAAATCGAATGAACAATTAGGAGATAAATAATAAGAAATCATATACAAAGTATTGTTTTTTAAGAACATTAATACCTTAAAGGTGTTGGTAGAATTTAAGGTATTTTGAGTATTTTTGGAACCCCGATTGGCTTTTGTGAACACACATAGAGAGTTAGGGTCGAGTGAAGGAAAGAATAAAGCGAACCAAGAGTTACAACGGATAAAACCAAGGGGGTTCGAATGGTCTGCCTCCTTTTTGTCGTTTTTTTGTCTCTTATTTATGAGAATGTTTTTTGTATAATTACAGAAAGAAAAGAACAGTTATGGAAATCGTTCTTAATATGACTGATGCTCTAATAAATTGTTTGAATTTTATTCCATATATGTATTGCAATTTGAATTTTGATATGACGGTAATTGGTTGATCGATTTATTAGGATGCAGCCGACTGAGGCAATCGACTAGGTGGCGATCGTATCTTGTGTTTGGTCGACCAAGGGTTTTAGTCAAATGATGAGCTCGTCTGTCGTGACAAAAGAGGGTTAGCCGTCCAATCGTGATCAGGTGATTTATGTCTGTGCTTCGGTCTTCAATCGGTCAACTGATGAGTTGATTTATTTTGTTGGGTGAACTGTGACTTACTTGTAGCTTTGACTCAAGTCTTACGAGGCCTATATCTCGTCTACCTGGTTGGTTCATCGCCTCTGTTGGATACCCCTATTAGCAAGTTCTTAGGCGGATACCTGTGTGACTCATCCGCTAAGACTTGCTGCTATGATTAATTAGGCCTCACCCTTAGCGGATCTTGGCGCTATCAGGCGAGGGACCATCTCTCAAGCTTTGACCTGTTCTAGGTTTAGAGACGCAGCTTCACATGCTTGGTGATGACTTGTCGGTCGACAGTCCCGAGTTTTTATTTTTGGTTGTTTGCTCGCTTTGAGATTTGTGTGGTAGCTCTAGTGCATACAATAATATTTTAAATTAATATTTTTTAAAACGAGCCAGCTCATAAGCTAAAAAGTCGAGTCGCGACTAGCTTGAGCTTGGCTTGTTAGCTCGTCAAGCACAATTCACGAGCCAATTTCGAGCCAGACTCTAGCTGGCTCATGAGTTGGTTTGACTCACTTACACCCCTAACTACTCTCTTTGTATCTTTATCTTTCTATATGTATACTAAAAAATGGTATGCACGAATCTTGAAGCCATTTGTAGTCTATCCCCTCAGAATTGACTATCCTCGGCCGACTTGTCCCTCCGAATGTAGGATTTTCCCCCATGAACAGAGGATGTCGACGCAGGACTTTTCCCTCTCAAAGACTACCAATGTAGAACACTAAAATATTATGTACTATATTCTTTTAAGCAATGATAATATTACAATTTGCTTGTTGACCCTCCTATCAGAAATACATACTGTGCATACGGTATCCGATCTTCACTTTTCATCACAGCAAATGTGTATAACAGTGGACCATATTTAAGTTTTTTTTTTTTTTTTAAGAAAAATGATGAACAGTAGAGATCGGACCGTATGTATATCTGCATACGGTGTCCGTATGCAATAATATTTTCCTTGTAAAAGGGGTTTTTTTACTCCCCCCACACTTGTAACCAAATAAAGTGAGTTCAGGAGCCGGGAACACCCCGATTCACCCCCAATGGGACAAGTCTTCTCTCTCTCACCTTTACCCCGATTCACCCCCGACGGGACAAATCTTCTCTCTCTCACGTTTTTTTTTTCCTCAATCGCACGCTCCATTCATCGGGCATGATTTACCAGACATATTTGGATTCAACAATCTCAATCCAGTTATTTTCTTAAAAAAAATTAGTTTTTTTATATTTTTATGGTTGGAATTTAATTTGTGAAGTATAAGTCAGTTTTAATCACATTAATTTGATGACAACGAAACCGATTAATTCAAGGCGTTTAAATCGTGAAGTATCAGTTAGTTTTCATGATTATCGCATTGATTTGATGACACCACAATTAGTTAATTTAATCTATTTTTAATGCTCTACAATTTTTATAAATATATACCTTATAAATTTAAGGTACTACTAATATATATCTATACATATATCTATGTATGTATGTACATATATACGTGTGTGCGTCTATATATATATATATATATATTCCTAATTAATAAGATAAAATAAAATTAAAGAATAGATTGAATATTTGTCCTCAATTAAAATAACACCAATTTTTAGTTTGAATTATGTAAATAGAATAAAACTTGATTTATCTTGTTAATTTGTTTTTTTCGGATTATATCTTTGGCTTAATCTTTAACATTTTTTTCGTCAATATATTAGCCGAATAAAATAGGGAAGAATATAATACATATTCACTTGCGAAATATATGATTAGAGTATCCAAATAAAATGAAATTCAAATATATATATAT